GTTTTTTTATTGACTAAAACATTTTATGTTAAACATGGGTGTTATAAACGTAAACAATAGACTCTACCTCAAGAGGTAGAGGAGTCAAATGTCTGGCTCACTGCTTCCAACTAGTGGTCAGAGGCTGAACTACAACACAAAAATGAACGGCTGGCAGGAAAGTTGACATTTTAAACCTTAATAAAAAAATCGATACAGGGCTTTAGAATATCGATACAGTATCGGGAAATGAAATATCGCGATATTTCAGTGTATCGATATTTTCTTACACCCCTACTATTCATATGTTATTGAAATGTTAGATTGTGTTATGATTTATGCATTCTTTCAGCTGTCACTCAAAATACATAGTTCTGCAGAAACGTACCATTTATGTTAATTAAGATTAATTAAAGTAGATATAGCATGCATTTTTGTATTACACATTGAAAGCATTAAAATAAAATCAACTAATTCATATACATTGTACAGGCACAGAACATATGAGGGAAATGATGGGGAAGGATGTTAAAAGGCTGACAAGACAAAAACACCAGGTCACGTCAATATAAGGGTGAGAGAAGGGTGGGGGAGCATTTGTTTACATTTACTTAACTCATTTTGAATCCTTATTTTACCTGGTTTCAGAGACAAATATTGGCCCTGTATATGAAAAAAGTCATTCAATTTCCAATAATCTCCCTTTCATAAATTTATTTGATGATTCCACTCCATTCCTCTGTGTTGGAGGGTCCTTACTTTGTCATCTTGTAATTGTTTTTTTTACGAGCTGCTAGCATTATTTTTGCCAAGCATTTATCTTTCAGGTTTATTTTCGATATGGCTCCTCCCATGAATATTGAGTAAAAACCGTATCCTGCCCAAAAATGAAATAAATCATTCTAACCAACTCCTGCCAATTAGGTTGGAGACCTTGACAGTACAGTATATCATTCAGTTGGGGTCTATATAAGTGGAACTGCAATGGTTTGGTCTAAATTTCTCCTTATTGTAACTCCACAAGACCCTCTTTCTCCACTTTTCTGAGGTGTTTATCAGAAAATCTTGTTTTGAGGCTGTTTCTATAAACTGAAAGGAGCACCCCCTCAGCTTCCAGAGTGGTCCTTTCCAATTTGATAGAGGGGTTTATTGCAGCACAACAACTTTTATTTACAAATTAATGAAATGATGTCAACAACAGATAGCTTGTCATTCCGGCCTTACCAGGCTTTTAGGTAGGATTTTTGAATGGTGCCCGCACAGTTGGTCTAACACGGCAGGAGTAGAGAACCTAATAAACAGTTGCTTGTAGGAACTTTGTGTTGTTTAGTACAAACAATACAAAAAATGCATTTCTGTTTGGATAAACCATTTAAGTCTTTAGCAAGATTCTCAACATAGGAAACCAGTGTACTTAAGGTTTTCCTTGTTAGGGCGATGAGAGCTTTCCCAAACCTAAGATTTGAGTAATTTATCAGTTCCTGTGCCTGTCCGTCAGCACTCTCCAGCAGATTGAGTGTTGACGTCTGATCCAAGCCTGTAGGACAGTCCTACAGACTGTTGTTGAGATACCTACAACAGGCTCTGGTACTTTGAAGTGGATCTGACTGCCAGCAAGGCAGCAAGCTCTMTTGTTACCATTAATACCAGTATGTGCTGGTACCCATTGGTGGGCATTGCTAACCCAAAAATTAGCTCTGCAATTTCTAAAGTGCTTATGAAAATATCTAGTTCCACAACATCAAAAACGCTTATGCCATAGAAAAGCTAGCGGAAGCTAATTTTAAAGCGCACGTTCAATTTGACACTTAGAAGCTGGCAACAATTCACGTACAATATATGTACAACACTGCAACTAGCATTGTATGAACCCTTGTACAGCTTAATCCTACAACCGCCGATTGCTGGGGATGTGATTTCCTGAAACAGAACTTTGGCTCCTGGTGTAAAAATTAAAAAGTTGTTGAGGATTGCTAATTTGGCTGCTTCTTTGTCTTTTTCTTTTTTTGTTGTAGATTTTTCATTAAAGAAGCATCAATAAAGTAATTTTAAAACTTTTTATTGGAAAACTGAAGCAATGCATTCTTGGTACATGACAGATTTGATTTGTGACGGGAAACAAAAGTTTTCCATGTAGTTGCTCCAGTTGACCACCAGATGTCTGTTCAACCCTGCTGGCGGATTGCTTCAACCAATTACGTCAAGTATTGAGCTCCAGCGTTTAAACTTAAATTAAAAAAAAAGAACTCTGATTGTAAAGTAAAATAAATCAATACATACAAAATTTTAGTATGGATTACAAACGTTTACTGTTTTTGCTGGGGAAGGGAGTTCTAAACATTGCCTTCTTGCTACGTAAGCAGACACAAAGCATTGTGGGGAATGAGAACCATGACTGAGAGCAACAGTCAGCAAGGATGTATACATTTCCAATAAGTGTGTTTATCTGGGAGGGGTGCTGTTGGACAGATTACGTGTGTCGTGATTCATTGACAGCCATACCTTCTGCTGTTCAAGAWAATGATGACTGGTAGATAATTAGTTATTAGCGGTACTGCATTTTAATTTTAGAAAGTGCAAATCCGCTTATGAATTTTAGAAGTTCTTAAGACTGCTAAAGCGCAAACAAAATATTTAGGTCCGCAATTAGCGAATTTGCGCTTTAGCAGACTGATGCCCACCACTGCATTTAACCTTAATTATAGTTGGTAAGTTCAGATCTTATTTGGCAG